TGCTGCCGCGCTGCGCCACTTGAACGTCGTCATGTTGCGCTTCTTGATCCTGGCCACCCTCGTGGCTGTGATCACCGCCGTAAGTTGCATAGAGTTGTGCGCCCGTCGCTGCTCATCACCGGCCTTGAATTCTTGGTCGCCGGCCTCACGTACTCGGTGGCTGCCTCCGCCTAGGAATGTGGTGACAAGCGATTGCAACCCGGAGAGACCTGCGTAAGTTTGCTCCTGCCCGCCTCTCATAAATCCCCAGGACGCCAGGAGGCATCGCGCCATCCTCATCGGTGGATTTGCTTTTGCAACTTAGGATGATGGCAATCGCTTCAACGGCGATGGCTGCTCAGGCATCTGTGGCATTGAAGATGGCTACACCTGTGAATACAATGGCGTCGAGCAAGGAAGCACCTGCTTGCCAGATTTGCCCGATCAATGCATGTTGTAAGTTTAACCTGCTGGCGAACAAAATTGTCCGTCGGGCACTGTACACGCTACCAGCCAAAAGCGCACAATAACATCTCATGCCGTTTTCATATTCTAGCGAATCAAGCTTCCCCACTACAACAACAGTCAGCCAGCGTCAACGACGCGATCACGAAGCCACCCGAGAGCCGGTTGGTGTGCTTGTGCTTTGAAACCGCAGCGAAACCCCATCACCGGCAAAATCTCATTCTGCCGAATATGATGTTCAATCCATAGTGCTCCACGTACTCTCCCTGCAACTGCAAGCCCGGCGCCATCCCCACCAACGAGTATGATCGTGATGGCTGCTTGGTCTGCCGCTGCCTGCCAGGTGAGGCACCAAGCTCCACCACCACGACCACTCGTCGTGTCACCACCACCACCGAGGCCCCTACCACTACCACGACCACTCGTCGCGTGACCACCACCACCGAGGCCCCCTGCCCCACGTACTCTCCCTGCAACTGCAAGCCCGGCGCCATCTCAGTCATTGTGGCAGATCGCAACGGCTGTGAGGAATGTCGCTGTGTCGCTTCGGGCAATCCCACGACTTCAACTCCTTCCAACAGCCCCGTAACGACGACGCGCCGTCCCGACGACAATGTCGTTGAAAACTGCAATTGCAAGCCCAATGCTGTTCGGGTACGTTTCACCTGCTCCATCATCATAGTGTGCTCGGGTCTGTGCCACCAACACAGTATGGTGGACAAGTGTGTCTTCTCATTGTTTTGTTTGTACATCACCAAACCCGCTTTTGTTTGGTGTAGGTCTTTACCGCTTCGCGAGGTGGCTGCCCCGAATGCAGCTGCGTTATGCCAGAAATTTGCCAAAATGGACGCCAACTTGCCAACAATGACACGTGCACTTGTGGCCGCAACTGCTGGGAGTGTGCTTTCAGCCTCGAGGGTGTTCGCGGCGAGTGCCAGGTCTGCAAAAACGGAGCTGTCTTCTTCGAGGGTGAATGTTTGGATGAGTGCCCGAGTGGTAAGTTGATTTTGTGCTGAAAGAGGGTCGATTCGCTCTCGGAACATGAGAGTTTGCGTGCTGCGTGCGTGCCTCGAGTCTGCAAACCTCTCACACGCAATTCTTAATCAATTTCAGGCTATGAAGTTTCGGGAACCGGCAACTTCCATCTTCGCTGTATCCTCGCCCAAGAGGCAACAGAGGAGCCTACCACTGAAGAGATGACCTCGACTTCGACCTCGACTTCGACTTCGACTTCGACTTCGACTTCGACCTCCACTTCGACTTCGACCTCCACTTCCACTTCGACCTCCACTTCCACTTCCACTTCGACCTCCACTTCCACGTCTTCTCAAGAGCTGACCGACGAGCCTACAACCGAGACCTCGACTTCGACCTCCACCTCCACCTCAACTTCCACCTCAACTTCCACCTCAACTTCCACTTCGACCTCGACCTCCACTTCGACCTCGACCTCCACTTCGACCTCGACTTCGTCAGAAGAGTTGACTGATGAGCCTACCACTGAAACGTCCACTTCGACCTCGACTTCCACCTCGACTTCGACCTCGACTTCCACCTCGACTTCGACCTCGACTTCCACCTCCACTTCCACTTCCACTTCTACCTCCACTTCTTCAGAGGAATTGACAGATGAGCCTACAACTGAAACGTCCACGTCCACATCCACATCCACTTCCACTTCCACTTCGACCTCAACTTCGACCTCGACTTCGACCTCAACCTCAACCTCAACCTCGACCTCAACCTCCACCTCCACATCGTCGGAGGAAATCACAGATGAGCCAACCACAGAAACAAGCTCCTCCACTTCCACCTCCACCTCCACCTCCACAAGCACAGAAGAGGCAACCACAGAAGAGCCTCCAACGACTCGCCCGGCTTACTGTGGTCCTGAGCCCGAGTGCAGGTTTGTCGGCTCGAGCTTGCTCTGACCCTTTTGCTCAGCAGTTATAGTTGTTTGCTCGCTCTGGATTCATCATCTCAAGTCGTCAATATGCATAAAGCATCCCTCATTGTTGCGCCGCGATTTGTGTACAATACTTAGGTGCAAGCCAACTGCCCTGTTGGAGTACTATGTTGAGCGTGGATGCCGTTTCTGCCGTTGCGTTCGGGATCCCGATGCCCCTATTGAGGAAACCACAACCACATCGCGCCGTCCTATTACGACGACCACGACCACGCGCCGCCCCGATACTACAACGACCACTACTACGCGCCGTCCTGCTACAACGACCACCACTACACGCCGTCCTGCTACAACGACCACCACTACACGCCGTCCTGCTACAACGACCACAACCACGCGCCGCCCCACCACGACCACCACGACTCAGCGCCCTTGCCCCTCTTATCGCCCTTGCAAGTACGTATCCGTAACGCATGCGTCTTGTTGCGCCTTGGCAGCCACACTTTCCATATGCCGATGCCACAGGTGGCATTGCTTGGTGCTCACGATTGTTTTTGTTTTTGAATTTACTTTCTTGTCAACAGCTGCAAACCCACCGCTGAAGCTGTGACGGAGATTGTGGATGGCTGCCTCACATGCTACTGCAAGGCTCTTCCTACTGAGGCGCCACCTGTAACTCGTGCTCCAACAACTACAACCACTGAGCGTGCGACAACCACGACCAAACGGCGCCCAGTGACGACGACCTCGACGACCACTGCACGTCCTACTACAACCACGACCGAACGTCCCTGCCCATCGTACCGTCCTTGCAAGTAAGCAAACCCAGCTGCCTCGATTTTCATGCTCAGCTTGCGCAGCGCTCAGCACACTCGACCAGCCATTTGCATTCTCACGTGCCACGCTGCACTCGTGCCGCCAACCTCTGACAGCTGCAAGCCAACAGCTCAGGCTGTGACGGAGATGGTGGACGGTTGCCTCACATGCTATTGCAAGGCGTTGCCCACTGTCTCGGCCCCGGAGACACGAGCGCCAGTCAGCACTGCAGCCCCGGAGACTCGTCCTCGTGAGACCACGACCACAGCGCGCGCCGCAGAAACAACTCGTGCCTCTGAGACTTGCCCTACTTACCGGCCTTGCAAGTACGTTTGACTGTTGCGCATCAAGTGCCACGAATTTCCACATTTGCTCCTTGCAATCAACGGGTGCAGGGCTATTTGATCTCACGGATATTGGCGACGCTACGGTGCTCATTATCCTATCTTAGCTGCAAGGTTGACGCCGAAGCCATCGACTACTATTCTGATGCTGGTTGCCGCGAGTGCCGCTGTGTGGCCAAGGGGTCGCAAGTCGGCGATTCAGAGGCCGCTGCAGCCGACGAAGGTGACAGCTCGAGCAGTGAGTCCCTGCTCTCCAGCGTTGTCGGTTTGCTCCTGTTCTGCTGACAGCCTTGTTTTATCTCATCCCGATCACACGACCCCATCCCCGATGGTTCACTAGACTCGAGCGCAGTGGCCGCAACTGTGGCTGCTGTGGGCGGCGTGGCGCTGGTGGCCTTGTTGGCCGTGGGCGTGGCCATGTATCGGTGCGTAGCATTCTTTATCTGGCGCATGACTCGGCTTGTTGTGGTTGTGTCTTTTCTTGCTGTGCCGCACGCTGTCTCACATGGTTCAAATCGGTTGTTCGTTGCATGCAGGGCACGCACACAACGCCGCGAGGCGGCTACCTCCGTTGAGGCCAGCGCCCTCGAGTTTGACGACAGCACCATTTGATTTCTGGATCGGATTTTAGCATGACCTCATTCTCGTCGTCGCCTTCCTATCCCCGTCTAATAACCCAATTTGCTCGTGCGCGCCAAGAAAAGAGTAGTCTACGCCCTGGACTCGGCTGTCAGTTCTCGGTGCTAGACCACTTGCCCGTTGCCTGCTTTTGCCGATGCAGCGCCAAGCGTTTGACATTTATCGCAATTCAGGCCCACTTCGGTCTTCTTTTTATTAGCTCTGACGCAGCCGACGCTTTAGGTGTTGACTTGTTTGTCTGTAGTCGTCTTGAAGTTCTTCGAATCGTCCTTGTCCCATGTGCATCTGTAACTGGAGTAAAATTTATCTACCCGTGTATCCTGACTGCCGCTGTGCATTTGCACTCCCACCATCAAGGCCAAGGCATACGAATCCGGTCCCGTTCGACTGTGAGCAGCTCGACCCGTGACGCTCCACACACACACACACACACACACACACACACACACACACACATAGAGGCTGTGCAGTTTGTACAAGAAGTATTTTACATTCATGACCTCGATGAGAAAGTAAAGTATTTCACTTTATATGGCCAAGGTGGAGCCTGGTCTCTCATGGTATCTTGCCCCCTAAAATACTTGTTCCAATGGTAAAGTGTGCCTTTGATCACACTAGATCATCACCGCGTGCTCCTCTCTCTCTCTCTCTCTCTCTCTCTCTCTCTCTCTCGAATTTTCTTGACGAGCGGTCAGTGAGAGCGATGGCAGCGGCAGATGGCAGCGGGGGCGGGGGTGGAGACGTTTCTGGCATGGGCACTGGTTTGGGAGAGGGAGAGGGAGGGTAGCCATGACAGGGACTCTATCCATTCCCTGGGTGTATTTGTATTGGTTGCTCTTGCATTCGGCGGCCCAAGTTGACCTCTTCCTTGGCCTTTAGCTGGTGATTTTCTGGCACCTTGTAGGAAACCGGCAGCATGAGCGGCAGCGAGAGCGGTAGTGACATGGGTTCGGACATCAACGTTGAGGAGATGGTGGCGCAGGTGGAGAATGCCATGGGCATGCCACCGACGCTGTTCTGGGGTGCGTGCACTGCCTGGTCCCGTCGGGTAGGGAGCCTCGGTCACCTGCTCACCCCAATGTGCCGCGTGTGCGCCACTCGAAGGTGGTAAGATCTCCAAAGGCACAGAGGTGACCTGGGAGCCTGACACGCCCTTCAACAGCCTTAGCATCACCCAGCTGGCCTTGGACCCGGCTGCCAAGTCCAAGACGGTCGTGGTAAGTAGAGTGTACTGTTATGTGTCTGCCTTGCCAACGTTGGCAAGCCATGACAGGGCGGACGGGGATGAGCACAGGTTGCCATCGTTTGAATGCCGTCCTGGCAGCATTCATTCTTTGCTTCATATTGAAATCTGTAGGTGCAGGTCTCCGTTGATGGTCCCGACAGCGAGCCGGCCAGCTTTGTGCTCTCCACCCTCCGCCCAGGCCACGTAAGTGTCCCATCTTGTTAAAGACCGTGCCCTGATTGATTTGCCCTTGTTCTTGGGAAGAATATTATAAAATCAATAAACTGACTGGTCATGGTCATCGAGAAGGGACTTTGATGGTTATCTCCCGTGGGTTGTAGCCATTCTTCCAGCTGCACGCTCACCTGCCCGCCACTGGCTCGCTTTGAGATAGATTGACCAGCACACGTTGGACCTGGTCTTTGATGACGCCGTGACTTTCAGCATCAAGCAGGGTGATGGCCCTGTCCACATCATCGGCAATGAGCTGACTGACCATGAGCAAGTCCAGGAGACCATGATGGTTTGTTCTTTGAATGCGACTCGTAGACCTGTCGTGCCCCTGCACAATAAGGTGTACCGCTAATGGTGTGTGTTTTCTTCCTCTTTGCGGCCCTACCGTGCTTTTGATATAAATACAACCGATCTGGTTTGACGTCGAGCAGCAGCTGCAGGAGCATGGCATTTTGGGGGATAGCGACGACGAAGATGAGTCTGATGAAGATGACCTCGATGATGATGATCACCTTGACTCGGTCAGCTTTTGATCCCGATGACCACCTTTTCCTTGCTGGCTGAGCCTTCTTTGCTGCCCCTCTTTCCACTCCCTGTCTCTTTTTTTTTGTTTGTACGCTTGGCTTTGGACCATGCTCTTAAAATTTATGTAGGTCCTCACCTTCGTGCTGCTCGGGTGGCTCTTGCACAAAACAGCAAACTGGCCGCGTGGTTACCCTCGAGGATTCATCGGACCAGGAAGATGATGTCGATTGTGCGTCGTACAGTTCTTCTTGACGGTTGTTGAGGGCTGCTTGCAAACAACCGCTTGTCACGTTTACAATGTTCTGGGAGGCTAACTTTACAATATTATTCTGACCCCATTTCATACCTTCATACCTGCCTCGCCTCGCCAGCTCCCATCATCGAGGTTTTGGAGGATGATGGTAAGAGCCAGCACTTGCTTTTGGTTTCTTTGGACGTGTCCGGCCAGCAGATTTTCTTATCACACGTCTGTCAATGCTTTGTTTCCTCCTTGTGACCAATACAGACGACCTCGAGGAGGCCCCTGAGCTCGTGCTCAATGCCAAGCGAGGCAAGGGTGCTTCCAACAGCAACAAGCGTGCCAAGGTAACAGGATGTTTTACGCGGCAAGAAGTTTTTCATGACATCCTATGTCATCAACGCAAGAGCGCTTTGGGCATCTCCTCATGATCTCGGGATAAATGTTCTCATCTTCATAGATTGATGAGGAGGACGACGAGGAAGACGAAGAGGATGACGTGGCCGGCCAGGAGGAAAGCAAGTTGCAATTGACCATGGATGTCATGGAAGATGAGGACGATGAGGACGACGAGGATGATGAAGACGCCGAGGTAAGAATTGCCAGTCCAAAGGCTTGTGTCAAGCGCAGGATGCATAATCGTCTTGTAAATTATTATAGTCCGTGGATGCCTAATTTGATGCTGCTGCCGGTCCGTTGCTTTCTTGGCTTATAGTTGGACTTGAGCATGACCGTGCCCGATGGTGCGTTTGTTGCTTGCCACGCCGTCCTGCCTCTTTAGTTTTTTGCCTTCCGTTCTCCTGTGTTTGTGTGTCTGTGTGTTTGTGTGTCTGTGTGTCTATGATTTTCTGAGCACTGTGAAGGCGGGTCTGACGTCGAGGCCCCCCACCCCACACACACCCCACACACACATTTTTTTTTGTCGGTATTTTCCAGATGAGGATGATGAAGACGATGAGGATGATGAAGAGCTCGATGGTGCGAGATTTGTTTATCGACGCGCTAGCCGTGTTTTTTTCAGATCCATTGATGGGTGAACCGCTGACTCTGGTATCTGTATGCTCACGCAATTTTAGATGATGAGGAGGAGGACACACCAGCGTCGGCCGTGAAGACACCGGTGACCAAGAAGGCTGCCAAGAAGACGGCTGCCAAGTCAGAGACCCCTAGCAAGGCCAGCAGCGGTTCAGCCCAGGTAGGCGAAATCTCCAATCTCGGTCATGAGGGCAATGTGATGGCATTACGCCCTCAATAGGAGGAGGGTTGTGTTGCGGTTTATGGCCGTCTGCTAACGAGCCTTGGCGCGGGTTTGCCTCCTTCGCTCGCTTCTTCGCCTTTGGCAGTTTGAGGAGTACCTGACGCGTCTCAAGTCTACTCCCAATCGCCCGAAGAAGCAGAGCAAGTTTTTCAACTTTTGCCGCAACACGTTCAAGCTGGAAGACGAGGCCATGATTGGCCAGCTCTGGGAGAACTTTAAGAACTAAGAGGTGGACGTGCGGTGTGCGTGTCCTTGTTTGGTCTTCTGTTTGTCTTTCATGTTTCCTATTTCTTTGCCGATGGACCCGGCAACCAAGAAACTAACCGGTATACATCTCGCCCGCCTCGATTTTTTTCCTTGTAAGTTCCTCGAGGCGTTTGGCGCTTGATCCATCCGACTGGCTCGTGTCTGTAATCCTTTCTGGAGCTTTTTGCTGTCGGATTGCAACAATTGGGATGGCCAAAAAGGTTTTCTCCCGAACCGAGCCCATGAAGAGTTGATCACAACTTCCCAAACAATGGTCTAAACCCAGAAGGAGGAAGTCACAAAGGACAGCGGCACGGGGATATGTACACACAGAGACACGGATCAGACGCAGACACACACACACACACACACACACACACACACACACACACGGGCAAATGCATTTATACGACAGATACGGACATCAAGAGATAGAGATGATGGAAAAAAATCTATAGAGGAAGAGGAGAGACCAGACAGACACCCAGACACAGCAGACACAGACACAGCAGACAGAGACAGAGAGACACAGCAGACCCAGAGAGAGATTTAGAGAGACAGAGATTACAGAGAGACAGAGATGTACAGAGAGACAGAGAGACAAAGAGAGATGATACAAAGGAAAAGCACAACTACCACATGTAACAAAGAGAGAGAGATAGACAGAGAGACAGAGACAAAGAGAGAGAGTGTGTGTGTGGGGGTGTGTGTGAGCATGCATGCTTGCACACATGATCCTTTTGGGGTTGCGGAGGAATTGACCAGAGTGCCCAGGGTCGTCAGCCCTGCTGTCGTCGTGTGTTTGCTCGCAACACTTGGATTTGTATGTCATGAGATCGATGAGGCACCTGTTGGCGATGGGTGTGTCGTGCCTCGTTCACTGGGCGCCCCGAAGCGTTGCGAGGGAATCAACTCCTTCCCCGGCACAAAAGTTCATGCTGGTCCATCCATCGCCCCGGGCTGCAAGCGTAACACGCTGTCTCGGCGTCGGCAGCGATGCCGTCCAGTTTTGGCTCAGCCCTGTTGCCGCACCCGACTTTTGCGCCCAGGCAGCAGACCACGCCCCTGCGTACAGATTGAGCGTCACTTGTCGTCCTCTTGCTTGCAAGGGGTGCACGCACTGCACGCGCGACCCTAAGCTCATGCCCCTCTTGGCAGTTTGTCCCCAGCCGCTTGCATTGCCACCGCTCGCTACTCTGCATGGCGCAACCACAAACGATGGCTTGGTCCGGGCTTCGAATCCGCTTCTTCGCCTTCATCACCCTTGTTCTTGTCCTGAGCTCGTCGGCCACGGCGGCTGCTCACTGGTCCTGGCCGGTGGTCAATCCCTCATTCGAGGCTGTGGGAACCACGCCATCCCTCAATCTCAACCCTGAGGGATGGTCGCTCACGGGATTTGGAGCCACCTATGCGCCGACGACGGCCTCCTACCATGCAGCTCAACCGCTCGCGTCCCCCGCCTCTGGGTCCCGCGTGCTCCTTCTCTCTGGTGGATCAAGTGCCAGCCAGCGACTTGGCTCTATGCCACCAACCGTGGCTACCCTCTCCATCTCGGCCGCAGTGGGACAGCCTAAAACGTTTTCCTTCCCGTGCACAGCTCATCTTCAGGTCAGAACACTGTTCAGCTGCTGCTGCACCACTCACGTCAAGCTGCACACACCTTGTCGCCTGTTTGCTGTGTCTTGGCTTGCTCTCACTCGGTATGTGTGTGTACGCGCGCGCGCGCGTGCGTATGTGCGTGCGTTTGGCCTAAAAGGTGTATGCAGAAATGGCAGCTTCGGCAGGTCACACACTGCAGCTCATTGCTGAGGCCCAGCACGAGGTGCCGGCCGTGACAGCCAACTCAACCACCAGCGGGCGCTTCACCACCATGCAGCTTGACCTGGATTTTGCGAGCCACCCCAAGAGCACGTTGCTCGCGAATCGGCCCCCGCTGATCCTTGTCTTAAACGCACAGGGCAGCAACTCCAAAATCGAGTTTGACAACATTCAGGTCTGATTTTGCTGCACTCTCCATCAACCTGTTGCAGCCCCTCCATGCTGCTCAATTGTTCATCTCATCACTCCACACCTCTGGCTACCACCAAGGTATCTCTACAATCCTTGGAGCAGATCCTCCGCCCTCACGTGTTTTCCCAACTGCCTTGTCATGACCTACAATGCCAACCATTCGCTTCAGAGACCAACGACCAGGTATGCATGCCTTGCTCTTTCTACACTCGTCTTCCCGCAAGATAACATGTCAACCCTCCATGTTCTGCCAACCGGCTCACTTGATATTCAATCGATACACCTCTCCGCTACACCTCAGATCTTGAGCGCTAGCGAAAGAACCTGGCTGCTGCACACGAAACCGTTTTTAAATCAGCGGGTCGTGTTTGCTGTGACGTCCACAAAGGTGTCAATGTTCCAGCAAGCATCGTCTGGCCAGCTCTTTGAACGCGTGATTGCCTTTGTCAACAGCGACTTTCTCTCGCCCGACTTGGACGCCTTTCACCTCGACGTCGGGCGCATCAATCAAGACGCAGAACAGGACATTGTTTTGTGGCGACCCGACCTGGGGGCCATCATGTGGTACAAAACCACGATTGGGCCCCTCTCCTTCACCGAACGCTTCGTTGGCACGGCCTCAAACCTTGTGGCCGCACTGGTTCTAGACGTCACCGGCAGCGGCCTGGGTGACGTGCTGGCCGTCAACACTTCGGGTCACATTTCGTGGTTCCGCAATCGCAACAGCCAATTTTCTACCATCCCTATCGGCCGCCTTGAGCTTGTTGACGGCGACGCGGCAACCATTGCTCTCCTCATGCCCCGCTCTGGAGGTGAGTGGACGCTAAGAATATAGTTTTCGCTCCTGGCTACACTCGTGGCTGATGCTCATGAAGCGCCACGCATGACGGACCTGCGTTGGCTTGTTAGTCTCCCAAAACACGCTAGTGGTCGGCACGCAACAAGGCTATTTACACACGGTCGTGATCGGTTCAGACGGAACACAGGTCGCACAGACGAGGCAACACCTGGGTGTGGCTGCAATCACATCCGCTGCCTTTGTCCCTACCAACTCCTCGCTACAAGCAGATGAGCCTTCGGTAGACGTCATCTCGCTTCTCTTGGGAAGAGGTTCAGGCCAGAATGCCGTTCAGCTTTGGGAGCTGCAATCCTCAGGCCAAACCCGCTTAGCATCCAGTACCAAACTCCCATCGATTTGGGGGGCCCCCAAGGCGCTGGCTATAGATGCAGATCGCGTTCAAGTGGTAACCCCTGCTCTCGCGTTGGTCTGGCCAGTGTCACTGGCCAGTACTTTGCCCAACGATCCGCTATCAGGTGACACCATCTTTGCCAGGGGGTCCGCCTCCTTGGTCGATCTGGTTTATCTTCCTGCCGATCACAAGAAGCCCGCCTATGTGATTTTGGGTCAGGTGCATGGCACAGGTACGCTCGCATGCTGCCAGGGCTGTATATTGCCGGCGTGACCGTCAATCCTTTCACCTACCTTTATGATGCTGCTGGCTAGGCGTGGTTGCCAGACCCTCGCAATGTTGCATTCAGGTGCTGCAAAACCTGCTTGTCATCAATCCCTCATTTGAATCGGAGGACATCGGCGCATGGCAGTTCTCTGGCACTGCGTCGCGCGTTCATTTCACCGCTGAGCCACTCGTCATGCCCAGTCGTGTCCCTGCAGAGGGTTCTTGGGCGCTCGAGATGGGAACTTTGGGCGTTGCACAGCAACACATTATATGCCAGGCCAGTGAAGCCAACCAAACCGGCCAACTTGTCGCAACCATTGGCTGGCCGCGAGGTGCCATGACACTACCACGCATAGTGCTAGAAATGCGCGAGAGCATCAGCAAGCAGTTGCTCACGAGCCAAACCCTGTCGGCCACAGACCTGCAAATTCGTCCACAGCAATGGGTGGACGTTCACCTCTTGTTTCGCATTCCACCAATTGTGACACGGCTGGAGCTGACAATCGCGGCCATTGGTGCTGACACTGTGCTTTTTGATCACATCCGCTTGGCTCGGGTCGAAACCAGCCTCGAGAGCCTTCCTTTGCTGGGCTATGCCAGCAGCATGTCGACCACATCGACAACAACAACAACGACGATTGACACGGTGCCCACCCAGCAACCAACCTCTCGAGTGCCGACCACTAGTCGCCGAACCGTGTCTACCGCAACAACTGTGCCCGATGGAGCGGGTGGGGCAACTCCTGCTCCAACCACAAGTGCGACAACAGCCACAACGAGCAACCCGCTTGGTCTTCGGGTGTTGAACGTGGACAATTTTGCATTTTCTTTTCCTCGTTTAGTTGAAGCACCGAGCTTTGCCAGAGAAGCAATGGGTTGGTGGTTAGATGGCATGGCCGGCGTGTTTTTACCCCATTCGTCAGCTGTTCCAACAGCAGAAGAGAACCAGGTTAGTCCACTGGCATTCAAGTATTCCTGTCTCCGCCCCCGTTCGCACGGGCTCGCACGTCCCGCTCTTTCGATGTGTTTTGGTATTCTCACGCATATGTCGTGTCGTGTGGCTGCACTAGGTTTTGTTTCTTGCCAACAGAGGTCAAGCCACATATGCTTTGACGGAACGACTCTGCATAGGCTGCCGTTTCCGCATCTATTTTGATGTGATTTGGCGTGCAGACTTTGAGACGTTTCCTACTTTACTGTTTGCCCTCCGAACCGAGCGTCAAGGCATTGCCTTTGTACAAGACGTCACTGACCAAAACAGTATGCAGCTGGTTCCTCAAGGCGCCGCTTTACGCAAAGTCGTTGACTTCCAGGCGCAGCAATCCTCGTTTGAGCCTGTGTTGCTGGACTTTTCCCGTGATGAGGCTCCTGGTCAAGTCCTCATTGACAACGTTGTCGTGGTGTTTGCCCCGGCCGGCTACCATGGCAATTTTGAGCTGGAGAGCATGCAGCTTTATCTCTCCCACGTGCGGACACACCCTCTCACGACCTCTGCACCAACGACAGACTCCAAGACAACCCTGAGTGCTACAATTTGGTCGACCAGTGCGATGCAAGAGCCCGCCACTACTACCGCTAGCATCAGTACAACTACTACCCCTTCGACTGCCACTACTACCACCACCACTACCACCACTACCGCTACCACCACCACTACCACCACCACTACCACCAGCACTACCACTACCACTACCACTACCACTACCACTACCACTACCACTACCACTACCACTACCACTACCACTACCACTACCACTACCACTACCACTACCACTACCACTACCACC